ATATTAGTTTAGCATATTTATCCCACATAGTAGATTAATTGATTCTATTTTATTTTAACCATTGTGTTACTAGCATGAAAAGAACTAAACAACTAAAATATTTGCCATAAAATACAATCACCACAACTCAATATAACGCTTAATAATTGTCTTAACCATTGACAATTACACATAGTGTCAAGTACCCTCATTCATCAAAACTTGGAATCTCAAATTGTCGCGCCAAGTGTAAATGCATCTAAACGTTACAATCAACAAATCATGCACCCACATGCATCAAAATTTCATGGCAACCAAAACGATGTCATCAACATATCAAACACGGTATGCATTTCATCCATTTTTCAATTTTTCCCTCAAAGAAAGCGTAGTATGAAAATGTAAACTAGTTGTTTAACATATATGACAAATAAAATAATGTAATAAACTAATCAAGCACCCTCATTCTTCAAATTTTCATGGCAGCTGGAACAGTGACAGTGACGGTAAGAAATCAACCAGCATATTTCAACTCAAGCATCAAAACATGGGCTCCCAAACGATATGATGAAAGCCCCTCACAAACATTTATGGCAAGCATAAATGAACTGAAAAATTGCAATCAGCAAACCAGGCACCCCCATTCATCAATGAAACAGTGTTATTAACAAATCAAGCACGCCATTTCATCCATGTTTCAAATTTTCATTCAAATAAAGCATAACATAAAAATATAAACGAACAAGCAAACATACATGAAAACTGAAATATTGCATTCAATAAATCAAGATTCTCATTCATCTAACTTTCAAAGTAACCAAAACAGTGTCATCAACAAATCAAGCAACCCATTTCTTCCATTTTTCAAAATTTCACTTAGAAAATTGGTATAGGAGAAGAATAAACAAATTCATCTCAAAACCATAAAATCCACCATCCCAAATCACAAAATCAACCATCCCAAATCACAAAATCTATCATACCCAATCACAAAATCAGATGAGATAAACGAGAAAGCCATCAACTCAAAATCCACAATATTCTAACCCTAAACACTAATGACAAAGCATCAAATAGACATGGGATAACCACATCGCAAAATGAGCGATAGAGATGCATACAAAGCAAGCCAAAAGAGGCGTGAGAGAGGCTTGAGAGAGTCATGAGGTGGGCACCAAAGAGGCACGAGAGAGGTGAGGAATCGAGAGAGCAACTATAGCATAAGGAACTCGAGGGAGTCATGGGCAGAAGCAACCCGAGAAAGCCACAGAGTAGAGGGTTAAAATTGTGAAGAAACCGCAGGCCGTAGGGTCGAACTCGTGACCTATTTTTTCAACAAACTATTGGCATAAGCCACTACGCCACATTATTTATATAGTTTTGCCTGCATTTTCAAACCACACAGGAAAAAAAAAATTTGCCCCAAACGAACACATAATGTAACAATTTATAGAAAAAAAAAACATTTTTCAAAGCTGAACAGGCATGACTGCCTTGCTCCACCCTTTCTTGTTCTATTGTTAAACCTCAAATTGGATAGGGCATAAGACCAACTGAGCAAGGATAGATAGGAGTAATTGACAGAGGTTGACAATGTATTCCAAAGGCATGCAACAATTGAGAAAAGTGGGAGGAGTGTATGATGCATCAACTATTTTAACTTTTCAGTGGCTTTGAGGGCTTTAATGTTTTATTGGTTGCAATAGTGCTAGCGGAAAGGAGAACAAAGAAATGGAGGAGTGAAATGGCATTAACTTCTCTATATTGTGCTGACACCATCATCATCTTTTCCCTTCTTAGAGAAGCTACGTAAAGCTTTAACATCACCTATATTCCTCACTTATTCTGTTAAAGTTTGATTAAACGATGATGTTGGATCAATTAAAATAATCATGTGAAGTTTTTGAACATGTTAGAGGTTTTTGATATTGAATCATATTTTTTTATGCTTATGTAGAAGTGAAGATTAATATTAACCTAATAAATATTTTTTTTAAACCGATAAATAGTTGGGAAATTTTATTAATCATGACAAATATGAATATATATATATATATGAATTTACTTGCAGGTAGAGGGGTATGAAATTAGCTTGAAGACTGTGAATATTTCGAAAATTGGATTGAATTTTAGCTCGGATTTAACCATTCAAGCAGAGCTTTAGCCAAATTAAATGATCAAATTTATTTCGATTCGATTTCAATCCGTCCTCAGTTTGGATTGGGATCAAAATAAATTCTTATGTATTTACTTATATAATACCTAAATTTTTAGTTTTACATGCATAATACATTGTCAGCTCAATTGGTAATGTCTGTTTTTGCTTCAATAGAGTGACAGGAGTTGAATACCCTTTTTCACAAAAACAAAAAACAATAAATAAAAAATAAATATATTTTTTTTCTAGTGGGCTGGCCGAGTAGGCCAAGGCGGATTGATCTGGCTCATGAGCCAAAAATGACAATAATGGAGGCTCGAAAATCTAATCGATCAACACTGGATCAGATCAAATTTTACTGGATCGATCCACAATTCGATTTCAACTGGTTCAAAGATATTTAAATCCAATTTCGAGTAGGCACTGGATCGGCTCTAAATCGAATAGCTCGCACCCCTATGTGTAGATATGCTTAATAATACTTATTGTAGGGTGAGTCAACTTTATTATAAGAGAAATTCTATGTTAATCAAATAAAAAATTATAATTTTAATCATACAATGGTGTGGTAGTAAATTTTCATAGTCAAGTGTTGGTTTTTTTGTCCAACATACATATCTTTGAATCTTTTACTTTATTTAGATAATCAAATATAACATCAGAAGTAATATACTACATGAAGAGATAGAAATATAATTTTTTTATGGATTCAATTATTTGAATAAAGTATATTATTCAATAGTTCGATGGGTTTATATTTAAACTAACAAAACATTTTCTTCTATCTAATTTGAATACTACATAAGATTTACATTAATCTGATTGCAACGCTTCCCGTAAGGAGGAAATCCATATAGCTAATTTTATATTAAGAGATGAAATCCTTTAAAAATACTCTCAATTATGGTTGAGATCTAGCCTTCAAGATTTTCAAGTTTTAGCTTTTCATGATTACTTATTTGAAATTTCAAACATGGAATATTAATAAGGAACATTTCTTATCAAGATCCAAAGGAGAAAAAGTAGGAAGTTTCCACATGCTAAGAAACTCAGTGACGCTTCTACTATCATATAATTAGGTATTAGTAATTTTGAAATTAAAAAGATTTAATATTTGTTGACATTTTATTAAAAGCTTATGACTTATATCCTATCATATTAGATCATAAATAGACGACGGGGGTGAGGATTTATGTCGCGGCGAGACATACATCCTCAAAATCTTAAGACAGGAGATTAGGTCAATCGAACGAAGAAAATATGGAACCTAGTCTAATAGAATTGCGAACAAACAATGACTTATAACCCAACCTCACAAACTCCTAAAGCAAGCCCGACTCAATCGGACTTATATCCCTACGTGGATAGAACAATTAGCTAAACCTACACAACATCATAAATCTTACATGTCTTGTCTTATACAATGTCGAATATGACAAGTTGTTTTTTTTTTTTCAGATGAAGCGAGTCTTATAGCTTGCTTATAAAAATCAAGATGCAAGAAATATGACTGCTATGCAAATTCTCGAAGATAATGCAGAATTAATTTTATTATTTAAAATTATAAAGTTTATTATCATGTTTATACTAAATGAACTCATCTTGTTCATGTTTTATTGTCGAGTGTCAAGTGTCAAGTAAGTTGTGTATATGATCCATGCATGAAAGATTAATTTTAAGGTCAAGAAGAGTGTGCAAATGCGAACTCACTCTACAAGAGCGGCGATCCTCACTGGTTATATTCTCCCTCTTAGAGTAATGAGTGAGAGTATGAAGATAAATAAAAGAGGTTATATGCACATGTATGCCCAATGTTGATCTGTTAATTCAATTAATAAATCGAGGGGTTAATGATTAAATATTCTTTTTTTTTGTTATCTGTATGCAATAATTTTCTAAAATGTAAAGTCTATTACCTCATTTTAATGTTTAAGCTTTATTTTTGTATGAAGTTGATTTGATATAAAATATATTTCTCAAGTGCCTAGCACGGATAATTCAAGTTGAGCAAAACACATCGACAACAAAACTATAAAAAACCAAATTTCTAAGCAAGCACAAGCAAGAGCAATCACATTTGTAGAAAAAGCCGAGACAACACGAGTAAAATAATAAATCAATAAAGGCAGTTGCAGGCGTGCACAGTAACACACGTAAAAGAAAAAGAAAAAGTGGGTCGCCCAACCCAGACCTAAGAGAAACTCGTCTGTTTGCTTGGTTCTATTGTTGAGCTGAGTTCGTATTTTGGTGCTTTGGGGTTCATCATTTAGGCTTTGATTTGAGTTGAGGTTCATCCCCATATTTGCATTGAGTTGAGGTTCATCTCCGTCTTTAGCTTGAGTTGATACTCATTTTCGTCTTTGGCTTGAGTTGAGGTTCATCCATGTCTCTGGCTTGACTTTAGATTCATCCTCATTTTTGACTCGAGATTCATCATCGTTGCGCCGTCATGTTAGGGTTCTTCCTTACTCTATTGACGTGTTGAGGGTTGTCATAGCTCCATCATCTTTTGAGCCCCACTTCAGACGGTCTGAATTACTGTAACCAACCAACAAAGATCTACTCCTAATACCAGACTCAATACAAAAGAAATAGAAAAAAAAATCCTATATTTACTATTTACCATAACACATCCAAAAAATTATTAACATCCACGAATGAGGCTACAAATAAAAGTAAACATCACAAAAAATATTATTGGGACTCAACTCTGCACTACAACACTAAGCCCTATCTTTTCAAAATACTAATTTTCTTGCTTCAGTTGATAACACCAAGCTTTTATAAACATAAATATCAAATTTAGGATGTTAGATATGTAAATGCATAAAAGACATGTAAATACATAAAGAGTTGTGTTGTATGAATGTAAATTGTCCTAGAAACAATTTTTTACATTGTGAAAGGGAATATGCCGGCATAGTGTTCTCTCACTGCATGATATGCCGCCGCTTCTTCTTCGAGAAGCCTCGAAGAAGATAAACATTCGTGCTCGCGGGGGAGGCGGTCACCAGCGCATTGTAGCTTTTCTCCGTGTTTCCCCCGAAGTGTCTGATTTCTTCTTCTTCTCTGCGCAATCCCATGCGAAGATCCTCTTCGAACCCTAATGAATCTCTTCTCCCCTTCCTTGAGTCCTTCTTTTAAACTTTTCCAAGGCATTTGCGTCGCATCATTACCCAAATTCTTTCTTCCCGTATCGTCATCCGCTTCCTTCTCTTCCTTTTCTTCTCTTATGCCCGTTCTCTCTACCAAAAGCGCTCTTTGCCCATGCGTCTCCTTTGATTCGTGCCTACCATTGCACGGAGCGAAGCAGGCGGCTCTCTGCGCAGGGTGTTGTACGGCGACTCAGGACGAAGTTTGGCAAGAGCGCGCGATGATGCCGATATTGGAGGATGTGCAGTGCGAGCCAGTCTCAAAACCTCGAAGGATTGCTCTCTTCGTTGAGCCTTCCCCCTTCGCGTAAAAACTCTAACCTTTTCCCCCCTTAATTCTAATTCGTTTAATGTCTATGGAGTTGATTTTGAATTAAGAGTTGTCTGAATTGCCCCGTTTATTACACAATGTCTTGTTCTTATAGCCGGACACATTCTTGGATCTTTAACGTACTTTGATAACAATTTTATGAATGACATCCATGATATTTATTGTCAGGCAAATTTGATAACTTTTTTTTTCATGATTAAAATTAAACGATAAAAAAAATTAATACTGAAATCAAGGTTGATGTATGCTCATCATGTTCATCCAAGTCAGCCTGATCGTCATAATAAGATTCTAGATCAGTCATTGATTGCGAAGTAGCCCAAATTGCATGTAACTAGAAATTCACCAAATATAAAGTTTTCAATGCCTCAAGTTGCCTAAATTTAAATCTAATCAAGTCATCCATGTGCTAGCCCTCACTCAACCCTCAGTACTAAGCTATTAATATCATCTATTCACCAAGTCTAGTTACCCAAGAGCTGGGGCACTCAACATCCGATTAGCTGTTCTCAACAAAAAAAACCCATCAAGGGTACTTTCTTTCATTCTAAAACTTGCTTGAAGTTTCTTACTAGCAGTAGACCACAAGCCAATCTCATTTGCTATATAGCTTGCTAGTATGAAATATTTCACTTGCGTGGCATTGTAGCATGATTATTTTGCGAAGGTCTCTATCGTAGTTGTTTTACGGACAAATCTCTAAGGGCTTGTCATGTAATAGATTTAGAGCAGTATTTAAGCTGGATATAACCGAAATCTTGCCAGACAGTCATTTTGGACAAAATAAAGCTTCGGATTTGATAAATCCAGATTTCACGAATTTCGGCCTTAAGTCCCGAAGTTACTAAATCCCGTGAATTGGTGCATTTAGTATAATGTTACCTATGTTGATGGTTTCAAGTGGGAGAGGAGCGGAAGGAGGAGAAAAAATGAGAGTTTTAGGTCTCTGCAAGCCAAGATCTTGTTGTCCAGCTAGCTCCAATTGCGACTGTGTTTAGGGTTTAGGCGAGAGAGGAATGATGCAAGGAGAGTTTCCACATATTAGGTTTTTGGTATTAATTTAATTTTATTTAAGCTAATTTTATTAATCAATTGCTTAATAATTAATAATTAATGAAAATATTATCAGATTGATTATAATTAAATAAATTTATACTTGTTATTTAATTATTAGTTAATAAAAAAATAATTTACAATTAGATAATAAGTAATTATTAAGTAATATAATTAATGACTAATTTATTATTTTTTTATAAATGTTAAACTTCTATTTAATAATTAATATAATAAATTTTTTTTATTAATAATTAATTAGGTTAGTAAATATATAATTATTAATAATCATAAATTAAAATGATATATTAATTCAATTTAAGAAGCTAGCAGATTTTGGCTATTTTGGAATGCTTTAAGTAGTTGAATTTATAGGATTTGTTAAACCCTGTGTGATTTGTTGTTGAAGTCTAACATATGTAACATAGAAATTGCTAAATAGTTTCACACGATACACTAAATTCTTTGTCATACAGTTTTTGGATTTAGCATTTTCAGGATTTACTAAATCCATATTTATAGAATTTACTAAATCATACTAACTTAAATCTCTTCGGCTACTGTACAACGCGTAAGTGAGATTTGACTTCATGACATGTCTCAAAAAGTTCAAGCACCATGTTTGACATGGCCAATGCTGACGTCACAATCAAAAGTTGACTTTGCAATACATGGCGAATTTCCAATGGAGTTTTACTTGCTACTAAATTTTGACTTTGTAGTTAAATCCTAATGTCTCTCTCAAATGATGATCTCATATCATAAATACAATTTCAACTTCTATACAAAGCGACGACTTAAAATTGATGATTCATTTTTCTCTTTGAATACAACTATATAATGAAATTTGACTTTACAAGCATGAGGTCTCATACAACAATAAAATAGCTCGAAATAAATCTAAACTTAGCTTAAGCTCACAAGCAAATCCATAACAACAACAATAAGCCTTTATCCCACCAAGGGTCTGTTTGGGGCAGCTGTAGATTATTTATAATCTGATGATAAACAGATTATATAATCTGTAGATTATCAGGATAAACTGACTTGTTGTTTTGGGGGAGCTTATTCAGAACAACTTATTGACAACTGTTGTTGGATAAATGACCATTCTGCATCTGTTTGGTGAAGCTGTTTGTAAGAACGAGAACAAATAAAGAACGAAAAAAGAAGTTTAACACCAGATGAAACACTCAACAAGAACGAGAAAAGAATGATAATTCATAAGTTTAACACCAAAAAGTCTATAAATGCTCTATGATAAAAAAATTGTTCAATAAGGTCAAGGCTGCAGGTTAAAATTTAAATATAACTAACAATGGAAAAAAAAGTTTAATCCACTAGCCCATAATCAATAATAAGATAGTTTGGGCATCGAGGTAGAGGTTCTTAAGTCCAAAAGATGGAAATTATAATGATATAAATGATGATCAAACCCAAAACCTTGGCAACAAATGTGACAAACATATTAAACTTATTTATATATATATAAAAAAATTATTCAAGACATTAAGAAAGGAAAAAGAAAACCAAATCAGTCATCATGAATCAAAATAAATTGCTAGTACTTAACTGCGTTTGGAAAATCTTTAAGAGCATAAAGTGGCAAAGATGAGCTCATGCTATTGGATATATCAAACAGAAGAGCTTGTGTATCATTCATTAACACCTCACTATGCCAGCAGTAACTATGTTTTGAAGGGAAAGTGGACAACCCATAGCAAGAACTTTCAGTTTCAATGCATTTACATATCTGCTCAGTTTCAATGCATTTACATATCTACACCTAAACTTTACTTTTTACATTTATACCTAAACTTTACTTTTTACATTACATTTATAACACCCAAGACTTTCATATCACATAACCAAAGAAACCCTCCACATAGAAGCCTCCCTATATTTGCTGCCAAGTCACCTACAACAATGTAGCTTGATAGGCCTCCAATTTCATTCGTCTTGATATGGGAATTAAGAGACACTCGTAGGACAAAAGAAGAGAAATTGAAATCCATACAACAAAAAGTCTAAATGTTAATCACAAACCTCATATTTATGTACCTTAATACAAAGGTGTCTATTTGTGCCAAAGATCTATGCATTAAGTAAAGGTACTCTAGTTGAAATTCAGGTCATTTGGATTGAATTAGGCTTTTTGTGACTTTCATTTTTTGTCAGTTTTTACTTCTCTGAAGGGACAAGAGAATCAAGAAACTAATCTACATATCTATTTCTTTGTGTCAAATTAATCAAGCATTATGGCTTGTTGGATTGAGTTCAACAAGTTAATTATGAACTAGCCTATTGCAATTATAGCTTAGAACACACTAAACCTTAAGTCTCCCAAGAGCAAGCCGCCACTCTGTTATTAGTACTAGACATTTCAGTCGCCCAATCACCAGCCTTGTGTACTAGTCTTCACGTTCCAATATTGACAACCACCATCCATTTCTTTGATTCTAATAATCTCTTCTTTGATAGCAGCAGGTAAAGGTACTCTAGTTGAAATTCAGGTCATTTGGATTGAATTAGGCTTTTTGAGACTTTCTTTTTTTGTCAGTTTTTACTTCTCTGAAGGGACAAGAGAATCAAGAAACTAATCTACATATCTATTTCCTTGTGTCAAATTAATCAAGTCATTATGGCTTGTTGGATTGAGTTCAACAAGTTGATTATGAACTAGCCTATTGCAATTATAGCTTAGAACACACTAAACCTTAAGTCTCCCAAGAGCAAGCCGCCACTCTGGTATTAGTACTAGACATTTCAGTTGCCCAATCACCAGCCTTGTGTACTAGTCTTCACGTTCCATTATTGACAACCACCCTCCATTTCTTTAATTCTAATAATCTCTTCTTTGATAGCGGTAGTAAATGCTTTTGGCAATCTTCAGCACTCTAGAAATAGCTTTATTTCCTCCCAATACGAGAAATGTCAAATTCGCATATTGATTTTTTTTAGGGGGTTATTTTAGTCCCAGAGTCTATCAAAATGTCATTTAGTCCCATAATCTCTTAAAAGGGCTAAAATAGTTACCCTTGGGATTATTTTAGCCTATATTAAAAGATTCTGATTAGTAATTTGACACTTTTATAGATTCTGAGACTAAAATGTCCCTATGTAAATAATTAGGGTCCTATTTTGTCACTTGAATCTAGTTTTAATATTAATTCATTACAAATCATAATGTTTTTGATAGAAAGTTGAAGGATGGAAGCAAAATAATTTTTTTTACGTTAAAACTTTTCTTAAGCACAAATAGAGAAAATGAATGTAAAAATTGATCACCAATAGGACGAAACATAATTATTTAAATTATACGATTATCTGCATAACATTAAACTAAAAACACAAACAAGATAATATCTATTTTGGTTGAGAAATCTTTTGGATCTTTTCTTAGACAATGAACAAACCTTTTTGTTCGGCATGAGCAACCTCACATGAGAAAGAAGAGTTAATCTCTTTAATAAGCAAGAGCTGAAATGTTAAAGAAGCCAAACCCCCATCAATTCCCATCAATTTAATCTCTTTAATAAGCAAGAGCTGAAATGTTAAATGCTTTTATTTTATTCTTTTCTCTTTGTTGGTTAGTTTGTTATTTAGTTGGATACTCCTACTTTTCCTCTGTAAATTGAAATTCTGCATTACTTAGATTTAGATGAACATTTGCTTTGCAGGTATGTTTCTGGTTATAAAAACCGCTTCCAGAATTTCATCAAGCATCTCCGAGAAATGGGAGATGAGGTGATCATATTTGAATTTTTTTTTGTTAATTTTTGTTGCAACTCTAAATGGATTCCCATTAGAAGAATCTTCTTGTTTTTTATGTGTTTTCCTGATGAAGGATCCAAAATAATCATGAGAACTTAAATAGTTTTGAAATTGGAAATTTGGAAGTTGACCCATCCAACCTACTGTTTGCATGGGTATTTACAAGCTTTCTGCAATTGAGGCTCTTATCCTACTTTTATTTCTTTTTTAAATGCGCAGAAGTTGAATTTTTAATAGTATGATAGTGCCAAAGAACGCTGCAAAAATTGTTAGAAGTGACTTGCTCAAACTCACTTACATCCTAGTCTTTTCCAAACATTAAACTTGCTTAATATTATGGAAATGAAATGTTTCTTTTTCAAACCTAGAAAATAGGCATGCTATTGCCTATCTTATCAAATTCTGACAGTTCTGAATCAGCTGGAAATTGTACTTGATACAGCCTTCTCTTATTTGGGCTAGGTCATGGTTGTGACGACCCATGAAGGAGTTCCTGAGGAATTTTATGGTGCAAAATGTATTGGTTCTCTTAGGTAACAGCATTATCCTGTTTTCTGCATGCTATTTGCTATTTATGACGAGACATCTGTTACAATGACAAAGCTGATAACTTCATTTCATGCTAAACTTTTTATTACTTTTTTTTTTTTACAATTTTTCTTTGGAAGACATTTCATATTTGAGAGATTTTTTTTTAACTGGATGTGTAATTTGTCAATGCTTTTGCTCTGAATATACTACTATTTGATTGAAAAAATAGCAATTACTCCACACATATTTACTAGGGATGTCAAATTGGGTTCATGGGCTGGGTACTGATCTAAAATTGACCTGACCCTGACGTGCCTTCGAACTGCCGACCTGAATCTGACTTGTATAACATGTTTAACATAAACGATTTTGAGTTAAATTTGAGTTAACCTCAGGCCAATTTTGGGTTGGTGGGTTCATTTCAAATCATTTTCGGTTTAGTGGGTTAATTTCGGGTTAGCTAGTTAACCCGAATCAAACCCAAAAAATTAAATGTTAAGATTGCTAAACCAACACAAAAATTAATTGGCCTGTAGGGTAAATTTTTGGACATTTCTCGTATCCATTAACGATTATTGTTTTGCCAGCTTTCCCTGTCCATGGTACAAAGACGTACCTCTTTCACTTGCCCTTAGTCCTAGAATAATTACAGCTGTGGCAAGGTTCAAGCCGGACATAATACATGCTTCCTCTCCAGGAGTCATGGTAATTGAAGTATTTTTAGAAATTGCGCATGTTAACTTTGCCATTTATGACATTTTATTTTGTTTTCAGGTTTTTGGTGCACTTGCAATCGCTAAAATGCTTTGCGTTCCTATAGTAATGTCGTATCATACGCATGTACCAATGTAAGTAGTGTTATGTGCTTTAGTCTTTCTCATGTTGAATTGTGTCAGCTCCTTGTTTGGTGAAGTTTGTAAATCTATATTATTTTAATTTTCTGATATATCATAAATGTTTTTGTGTAACTTCGTAGAGGATTAATGAGCATAGATCTCCTTCGACGGTGCCTGAGTAAACTTATTACTAATAATACCATATTTCTGATATATCATAAACATGATATTATTAATTATTCATTTTCCCTCAACTTTCAATAGGATAAGTGGTGGCTGGTCATTGGTGTTTGTACTGATTATGCAAGAAAGGCGTTTGAACATAAAAAAATCCTGGCGATTTATGTCCATTTCTTAGATGACATGATTTCATTAAAGCATTTAAGATCATATGTGATGCTTTGAAGTAGATATTGGAGGCATAAGGAGTTAGGAAAATAATATTGTAGCCTTATTTAGCGAATGCCTGAATAATGTAAGATTGAGATATTGTACCTATGATGTCATCATTTAGTCTATTAGGAATTGGAGGCATTAGGAATTAATTCATCTTGCGTTATGACCATCTTGTCACAAAGTTTATTAATACTTTGAAATTGCGTTTCACAAACTTGTAAAATGAGTTGAGTTTCTACGAGGTTATTCATTTATTTGTAAATGCATCTCTGATGTGAGCAAACTAGTTGATGTTTTTATCCGAAGGTGCATTGATAATCACTTTCTTTAGTATTAGTTTTCAAAATTTCAAATCCTTATCAATTATGACCGGCATCATATTTCATGAGCACAAGAACAAGCCTATAACTTTGATGAGTTTATTATTATTATTATTATTATTGTAATTATAGATTCATATCTGTAGAGGGAATTAACAATGCATTCCTAGCACGTCATCTAAAGACTCTCATCATAGAATTGCATTCTACAGGGATTGAAGGAGACTGCAACGAAAAGGCCATAAGCTTGATAGAGAATATGTTCTATTGGCCCTCTTTAAAGAGTACCTAAACATCAGAGAGTTTTATAACTTTTTTACTGTAATTGTTAGATTTTGCAAGAGGTTTTATTTCTATCTTGCAACAAAATCAATGATACAATATATGGTACAATTTTTTTTTTCCCAAACAGAGTTACAATTCATGATTTGCCTAACACAATAATCACAGACAACCCTAGACTCTAACCCTAAACTCTAAATCTTAAATCCTAAAAGCCCTAAACCCTTTTTTATTTCATACTTTTTTGAAAACTCAATGAAAACTAATGAGTACTAAGCTTAAATTCTCATTAGCATTTTGCCTATGGATTGATGGGCAAAATATACCTGGTAACTAGAACACTAAGAGACCCACTTGAATGTCTAGGTGGGAAAAAACTAGAAAATTTGGATGTACACTTGTTGATGCAAAAGAAGAAGGTGAAATCAACCTTTTAAAATCAAGCAAAAAATATTAGGTTTTAGATCTTAGGGTTATGTAGTAATTCGAAAAGAATTTTGTTTCTCGTTTATAATTTTGCATTATATTTTACTACAAATATATAATTATGAAAAGAAACAAAATAGAAATCCTTCCAGATAGGAAAGAATATAACAATAAGAAATATAAGTAAAAGGAATTACAATTAGTGAAATATATTCCGAGAGGAAACAAATTCCTTCCGAATCAAGCATGTGGATTGAAGCTTCGTCTAGTCACCCTCAAGTTGGATTGTTGTATTATACAAATCAAGCTTGAAATTCAATATATCATGATTGGCTATTGGTAGTGCTTTGGTGAAAATATCAACAAATTAATGTTTACCTTTTCTGAGATGAGATGCCGATCAATCTTGATGTGTTATGTTCTGTCATGATGCATAGCTAGCATTTGTGCAAACTTCAATCTCACAATTTTGCTCTTCTTTTGAAGAGTAAACCGTATCCATGGGTTATCATCAAATATCTCACGATTCTGGTCACTACTTTCAAATGACCCTCTTCATGTGTGGTCTTACTATATTTGCTAATTATACAATATCAGGTTTTGTGAGTGATAGGTAAAGTAGTTTGCCCATAAGTTTTTGATATCTTTGTCAAATAGACTACTTTCTTCATTTTTGTTTACGATTTTGTTAGAATCCATGGGTGTGTCAGCAAGTTTACACCCAAACATGTCAGTTTCACTTAACAGGTTTAAGATGTACATTGAGATATGATATCAAAGATTCTAAACAAGTTTACACTCCTTAGATCAAGTCATCTCCATTCTAAAAAATATAAAAGATTCCCTATGTTCTTGATCTCAAATTCTGCTGCAAGCATTCTTTTTAGTTTTATAATTTTCTTTGAATCATCACCTGCCAAGATAATATCATCTACGCAGATAATGAAAAAAAAAATCTTTAGAATTGGATTTAACGAACAATGTATGATCAACTTGACACTAATGATATTCATTTGTAATCACTGTTTTAGCAAACACGTCAAACCAAATACGAGATTGTTTCATATCATATAAAGATTTTTTTATCTTGCAATTTAACTTCTTGTTCAATATATTTTTCAATCCCTAAGATATAATCCTGTAGACTTCTTCATCAAGGTCACTATTCAAGAAGACATTTTTGACATCAAGTTAGTATAAAGGCCAATATTTATTTACTGCAAGAGATTTAGACCTGAACTTTATTAAGTTTGGCAACATGTATGAATGTTTTTTGATAGCCAATTTTGCATGACTTTGGGAAACAATTTAGCTTTAAATCTCTTTACACTTTCATCTCTTTTGTATTCGACCATGAATATACATTTGTAGCCTACATGATTTTTTCCATGAGGTAAGTTTGTTAGTGTCCATTTGTTAATCTTTTGTAGAGCTCCAATTTCTTCCTCAATTGTCTGTTTCCATGTTGGAATCTTTAGAGCCTCTTGAATAGAGTTGAAAATCTTCATACCATCAGGGTTTGTCACAAAATTTCTATAAGATGGTAGCAACTTTCAGAAGCTACATATCTTTTAATTGGATGACAAATGCACTCTTGGATACCTTTCATTTGTGCAATTAGTTGATTAAAGTCATCAACCATCGCTGTAAGAGTCATGAGTTGAGAAATCTATACCATTATGTTTACAGGAGGACTTGGTTTTGTCTCTTGAGAGTCCTATGTTTGCATAGTGTCCTCTACATGCTCAGTGATTCTTCTTTTTTTGGTGTAGATGAAAAATTCCTGATCATTAGTGTCATGTTGAGGTGGAGTAGAGACAATTGGGATTGTTTCTATGATAGAGTGAAGCTATTTGAGAGAAAGGATTTGGTTCAACTAAAGGAAAAATGATCCGAGTGTTTTGGAAAAATTCCAAATCTGATATTCCCTCAAGCTCCTCCTGAATTTTAGATTTGGGAAAATAAGATTGATTCTCAAAGAATGTAACATCCATTGGTACATTTTCTAGCGGTTGGAAAATAACACTTTTTTTTTATGAATAACCGAGGAAGATGCATTTGAGAGACTTGGGATCAGGTTTAGTGTGGTGTTGTTGATCGATGTGAGCAAAGATAGAACAACGAAAAACTGTATCGGTAAATCAGAAGAAAAAGAATGGATGTGTTGGTAGGATTCTATGAGAACATTACTGGAAATTTAAAATTTTAGGACTCGAATGAACATTCTTTTGATGAATTATGTGACTGAAAATGACTTTCCCCAAAAATGTCTAGTCACATGATTAAACAGCATGATGACACGGTCCACCTCAAGTGTATATTTTTTCAACGACCTCATTTTGTTGAGGATTATCCACACAAAAACTTTATATGAATATTATCATGCTTTGAAAGACAAGGACTAATAATGAAATTAAAACATTTCTTAGCATTATCACTTTTAAGAATTTGAATTTTACTTTGGAATATGATAAATTTACATTGGGGCATGATAAACTTACATTAGGATATGATAATTCACTCCTTAGATCAAGTCATCTCCATTCTAAAAAATATTGAAGATTCCCTATGTTCTTGATCTCAAATTCCACTATAAGCGTTCTTTTCAGTTTTATAATTTTCTCTGAATCATCACCTGCCAAGATAATATCATCTACGCAGATAATGAAAAAAAAAATTAGAATTGGATTTAACAAACAATTTATGATCAACTTGACACTAATGATATTCATTTGTAATCATTGTTTTAGCAAACATGTCAAACCAAATAAGAGGAGATTGTTTCATATCATATAATTTTTTTTTTAACTTGCAGTTTAACTTGTTGTTCAATATATTTTTCAAGCCCTAAGAAATAATCCTGCTGACTTCTTCATCAAGGTCGCTATTCAAGAAGACGTTTTTGACATCAAGTTAGTATAAAAACCAATATTGATTTACTGCAAGAGATGTTAGACCTGAACTTTATTAAGTTTGGCAACATGTATAAATGTTTCTTGATAGTTAATCTTGCATGCTTCATGAAGCCCTCTGGAACAATTTAGCTTTAAGTCTCTTTATACTTTCATCTCTTTTGTATTCGACCATGAATATACATTTGTAGCCTACATGATTTTTTCCATGAGGTAAGTTTGTTAGTGTCCAATTGTTAATCTTTTGTAGAGCTTCAATTTCTTTCTCAATTGTCTGTTTTCATGTTGGAATCTTTATAGCCTCTTGGATAGAGTTGAAAATCTTCATACCATCAAGGTTGTCACAAAATTTCTATAAGATGGTAGCAACTTTCAGAAGCTACGTATCTTTTAATTGGATGAAAAATGCACTCTTGGATAGCTTTCATTTGTGCAATTAGTTGGTTAATGTCATCAACCATCGCTGCAAGAGCCATGAGTTGAGAAATCTATACCATTATGTTTACAGGAGGACTTGGTTCTGTCTCTTGAGAGTTCTATGTTTGCATAGTGTCCTCTACATGCTCAGTGATTCTTCTTTTTTGGTGTAGATGCAAAATTCCTGATCATTAGTGCCATGTTGAGGCGGAGTAGAGACAATTGTGATTGTTTCTGTGATAGAGTGAAGCTGTTTGAG